ATAATGATATTTACGCGTTACGCGATTACTGGTTACCAGTATCGACCCACGGTCGGTCGGTTTCGCGCGCCCACGGTTGGTCTTGCGAGCCTGACCTTATTCGGAAACCCTCTTCGAGAATGCCGTTCCCGATTTACCACCTCCGGCCCGGTGGTAGAGGTGGGGCTGTAGGGCAGGTGAGGTAGTGTTTAATTTCTTTGGGGCGCCACAACAGCCGTCCGGTGCATAGATGAAAGAGAGGGTGCAATGAAAGAGGAAAAGAGCCTTTTTGTTATTTTTAGCTTTCGTTTTCTCTTTGACCAAGTATGCTTTTGATTCACGACTTAAATCCGCGGCACTTACGTAACAATAACACGTCGGTACTATTCTATTTGTATTCTGAGTTTTTTTTTATATTTCTGACTGTCTATACAAAAAAGTTTGGCTACAAAGTTTTGTTTTATTAAATCATTACCCAGATAGTTGGCTGACTTTATGTCGTCGATATTTTTTACTTAAAATGACATTAAAAATGTCATTTTGATGTCATAATGTCGATAAATAACGTCATCAAATTTGTCATTTGTATAGTAATGTATTTAAAAAAAATAAATTCTGAAGTGTTACATCTTATAGTGTTATATCTTTAGTATCAAAAAGACTAAGAAAGCGATTTTCATTAATTGATGAATTAAAGACTTCTTTTATTGTCTAAGAGAATTTATCCGTAGAAAAATGTGCGGTTTCGTATACGTTCTCGATCTTAAAGCTTATATCAAAGTTAAAAATGACTTCGAATAACGTTAATTATTATTTTTAATATTTAATAAGATACAACTAAGTGATTTTTTTAATATATGCTTCTAATGTTTTGATAAACACAAAATTTATAGCCAGATTTTTTGTCACTGTATTATGTTTCAATTTCTAGATTAAAAGTTTTTTCTAAAGGTGCCACAATTACTATTGTTACTAATGAAATCAAGTAATTCTATATCTTAATTAATGAATAAATATAAAAGGATTAATTTTACACAACTATATTATATTTATCCGATAATTTTTCTTTAGTTAGCAATTTATATAAACTCGTGTTTTTGTGAATTGTCGAATGTACGCTTTATATATATTTCTTTCGAAATATTTATATTATAGAAAGACTACCTTCTCAAGAAACAATATCTTTAACTGTTCTTTAGGTATTCTTTAGATGTTCTTTAGGTATTCTGGTCAAAATGCAGCAAGTTGTGCAAATCGTTCTCCATAGATAGCAATTTAGTTGCTTCGTGTTGTAGGACTTTGTATTACATTCGCAGAATCACGTATACCGGAAGTGGACGATCTACGCAAACCGAGGCCAGAATAGTGAATGTAGCACAACGAAATAACGTAATAACGAAGCTAATAAATAATATTTGTGCAAAATCTTCCGCGCAAAATATTTCATTTGAAAAATTATTTATTTAAATGAATGCACGATCCACATTATTCTTATCAAGATAATTATGATAATCACACGTTACTGTCGATGTCTAATGATAAGATCAAGAGTAAATCGCTGTACTTAACGCATTATATCCTCCCACACGATTGAACTATTTATATGTAAATCGTTACTGCAATTACATCGATTTCTTGCTTTTTTTGTGTTTCCTGCAGCACTGGAAATACGTCAAGGTATGTATAATTCATTTTAGGATATAGGAAAATGATACCATCTATCAGTGCATCGCGATATTGACTCAAAATTTTCATAAAGCACGTTGTTTAGATCTAGTCTTTGATGCCATTCTATACCATTTATTAGTTACTTATCACATTAATATTATGACAAATAATTTAACATATTTTCTTTCTTTTTTAATAATTATTCTCACGAACCTTAAAACAATTTAAAAATCTGCAATAAAAAGAGCGTTATTTTAATTAAAATTTTAATTTTTTTAGAAATATTGTCAAAATAAATATTTGACCTGCTTATTCCGTTTAATAGTTTGGTTTCTACTTAGTTTTTCAGAAAATTGATTAAATCTATTTATAATGTATCTATGATGTTCTTAAATATTAATAAATAGGAAATAATCAGTAATATGTTATTTATTAATAGTAATTTTAATTGATATATAAAAAACACAATGATCGTTTATGTAAGAAAAAATCGGGTGATTATTATTCAGTTACAGTTATCTAAAAAATAAAAGAACTTTTCGGGTCATATTAAGAGATACCAAAGGGCTAGAATAAGTTACATGAGTGACATTAATTGTTTTTCTTTTAAGCAACCAATTTCAAATAATGGAAGATTGTTACCGTAATAATAGCAATGATGTGTTGTCAGTCTTCATATGCGATTGTTTCTCACCAACGACTCGCGCATTCTTCTAAAAGACTTTTTCTTAACGCACATATAAATTACGAATGTAGTTTGTAATAGCCGGTATAATTACTTACATTATCTTAAAAACATTCATCGTACCGTTACGTGTCCCATCTATTATTCTTATTCTCCCGTGCTTCTAATGCCTTTATGACAAAGTGACGTTCATGCCGAAACGGCACGTCAGGAATTACGGAGTCGCGTCATGCGACAGACAGACGCGACATACCAGAAGTAATGTTCTCGTTCTGCCCTTTACTACATATATCCGACCCTTCATTCGTGACTTTAGAATGCGAAGAATTTCGACTATCTTGCCGCAAAGTGACTAATCACAGTGAATGTGATGAGACGCTCATAATCAATCATATTGTGTAAAGCAATGGAACACTAATTACCAGTCTATTTACGGGAGCTAATTTTAAGAAGATAGAATATTTTCTGTACATAAAAACAAAGCGTCTGTAATAGCTCTCTTTGTGTATTTCGTGTATATTCTTACCTTTTTTAAAAATTTTATTTTGATTTTTATTGCTTAACTGATTTTATTAATAATTAATTCTAGCCATTCATGTAATTTTAATCTGATTTGCGTTCGAATCGATTTATTTTACTGAAAAAGGTTAATAGAGTTGAAACGTCTTTTACATCATTCTAAATAAAATTAATTAATTATTTTGTTTTACATTTTTTTAAATCTTTTGCTATTTATTAACCTTGATTTTACTTAATTTTATAAATCAAATGTAAATCTTATACGTTACGGATTTTTACACGGAGTGTACTTCTTATAGATTTAGCAAAGTTTGTGTTTTATGCGTCTTAAGATGAAAGAAGTTTGTGCGGAAATACTTACAGTTATAAAAATTGCCGAAGTCAGCCGTTTATTATTTCTAAATAAACGGAGTTTGCCAACAGTTGACAGTTGTCCATCGTAATTTGTTATTACGCGGTTTAATGACAAGAGTACAGATTGCAGTAACGCAATTATTACAGATTGTTATTAACAAATTAATCCAACGTAGATAGGAAACATTTGCGAATTACGTTCAGAATAATTATTTTTTTGTTGCAGTTAATAAAACATAATAATAAATGTAAATAGTTGACGTCATATATTATATGATAATTAAATTTATGTGTGTTATATAATGAGCGAATATTTAAATGATTTTCATGAATGTTTAGGGTCAACCGGTTTTTTTTTTTTTTGAATTTTAAAGTCATCGCTTTATCATCATTTTTATAACGTACTTTTTATGATGCACGTATTGCGACGTTTACGATTGAATCATGTCAATGTTTATATATTTTACGACGCGTGTGATATAATCGTCGACTTTTTCGATACTGCTATTAATCCTATTCACACGCAATAGAAAGGAACGAGTGTCGCAATGTCGTAAAATGGAACATGTCAAAATCATCCTTTGAGACGCATAGACGCGACTTGTTGCAATTAGTCACGATTACGAAAGGCGGATGGGAGGCGGATCACGCGCTGTTCTGTCAATCGCTTGACATTTACTCACCTGGCTGTGCAGAACACGCGACGCACGCAAGAGTGTACGCGTGTGCGACGCACGCAATACACACGCTCGCGCGCAGGGGCGGATAATTTTTATTTTTAAATATACACGAATCTATGTAGAGAATTATAATGAAAATTGATTGTATGATAACTGAAAATATTTTTAAAAGTTCAAAGTATCTTAAATTAATATTATGAAGATATTTTTAGCTAGAAATATCCAGTACAAGAAAGGAACGTTCTTTTTAACCTTGCATTACTCGCGTGGATTTTTTTTATGTAATTACTTACGTGGGTTGTTTCTGTTTTATCTCAATTTTATCTCAATTTCCGTTCTCTTTAATGATTTACAATTAAATAAATATTCGTAATATTTTATATTCGTTTTAGATGGAAATAAATACAAGAAATTCTTTTTAAGTAATTTATTTTAAATATATTGGATTATCCGGAAAATTCGTGCCGACTAATCTATATAATTTAATAAATGTATACTAAAATTTAAATCTTTTGCGTTTCAATTTTCCTTCAAAATCGGCACGAACTTTCCGGACAACTCAAAAATATTGTGTATATAATATTCATATATTTGCACAGATATCAAATAAGCAATGGTAACTCAATCCTTTGAGTTAAATAACATTTTGTTAATTCAATTTTTATGTGTGTCAAAATGTAAGTCAATTATTTCTATCATAAATAACGTCCATTTTTTATTAACATATATATTTAATAAACAATAAACTAAAAAACGTTCAATTAAATTTAATACAGTTTCTTGAGTTAAATTTAATTTAACTTTGTTGTTTTAAATTAACGACATATTGAATAAAAGCAGTAGCAGCCTATAGAAATGATTAAAAACAATTCTAATTGAGTATAATTTGACATTATAAATTGAAGTGTAACGAATTTATAAGATTTGGATAACCTGGATACTCTATACAAGTAATGAAGGGTTAATATTACATTCGATCGATCACGCCAGCTGCTCGAACCCCGAAAAATTACTATCAGTTTCGAGTCCTGAAAAAAATTATTATCCGCCTGTGTCCAAGCGAGTGTCCCTCTTTACTAATCCACGGTGACGGTTCTCATCGCTATCTTTTTCAGACTTACACGTGTCTACACGTGTGCGTCCTTGTGAACAACCAACCATGCTGTTCCCCCACCGTAAGTTCATAGTTCTCATTCGTTATCGGCCCCGACGATATGCATGATTTATCGTTTTATTTACACAGTATATCGTCAACTCTCGCAATTATGAATTTAAAAAATTATTATATGTAAAACATGCAAAGAATGCGATATATTACACTCGTTCGTCGTTCGTTACACTCGATCTTGCGAAAAGTTATCCTTTATAACAAGTGTTCTTCCATGTTATTAACGCGTCATTGTCTGACTAACACCTGCACGCGATGACGTATTCGCAATGCATGCTCGAGTTGACCATTGGTCGACCGATATGGTAACGAATGTGCCAAGCTTAATGTTTTTAAAACCGGTCTGTAAATCAGCATGCGTTTACTCGTACGCGTAATCGGATTCGAATGTCGGGAATCGGGAAACGATTCCGACATCTCCATGATTTTATCCATTTAATTATCGCTGTTTCTTCTTCCTTGATCTGTATGCTGTTAAATCTCAAAAGATTAACTCAATGAGTTAGATAACGTTTTGTTATTTTTTACTTCTATTAAAATATATATGTAATAATTCTATGAAAATATAAATGAATCCTTTTTTGTAATTGAATTGTTTAGTTTTAAAATAAACGATGTCCACACATTAACGTATGCACTTAGTAAATAATAAATTAAAATTTAATACATTTCTTGAGTCAAATTAATTTAACAATATAATATTATACATGTTTTTAAATAATACGATGAAAAAATTAGATTTTTATATTATGTTAAAAATAGTTAACAGTTTATGAATTTAACAGTGTATAGACGGAATTTCTAGTATTACTATATATATATATGTATACAGTTTGAAACATCAGAATTGTGTAAAATTTAGTAATATAATCCGCGTGAATGTCGCATATCTTTATTACGTCAACAGCGCAAACAGCGGCTATGATTATGTTGACGATATTTGTGCACATTTGACTCATATCCCACGCTTTCGCTATTTACATATGTGTATGTAACTCTCGACATTCCTGCGGTTTTTTCATTTTCTATTCTTCTTCTATATGGTAATCGCTTGAGTACATCGCCGATGGACTATACCCTTACGCATTCTTATTTTCCTACTTGCTTCTCTGTTTTTTTCTTACGTCAGTCGTTTTGATGTATTTTTTTTTGCGCTGCCAGATATGTGCTTGACTCGATGTGAAAAGCGGCAATTAACTTGCCCCTTTTGAAATTTGTTGCAGGCGAGCAGACATGTCGGGGACCTGTTCGAGGATCTACGCGACGGCCACAATCTCATCTCCTTGCTGGAAGTGCTCTCGGGCGAGCACCTTGTGAGTATTTTTCGCGATGTTCTCAGATATTTCTATATTTATTTTCCATTATTATCTTAACCTTTAAAGTAATCTAAAGATACGCAAGTTGGTAGATGGAGTGCTCTCCTAAATATCTTCTAAAAATTTTAATTTTATAGTTATATTTTTTATAGTATTAATTTTTAATTAGTATTAATTTATTATTATAGTATTAATTTTTTCAAAGGACTTCTAGTATGTTAATTATAATATAGTATGTATAGTCTAGTAGATATAAGTAAGTGTATAATAAATATAATTTTTACTTAATTTTTAGTTAAAAGATATGGAAAAAGTGATTTCAATTATTTCAAATTATTTGAAACTGTGATATTTAGTTTATGAGATGCTGATCAAAAGTCTCCAAGTACTTCAGAGAACAGCATCATATAAATAAATTTTGCTGTAGCATTATTTGAAAGTTGCTATTTTGAATCTTATCGGATTGAAAAGACTTAAAAAAATTTAAGACTTCCGGGTTTTTGACAATATTTTTTATTTTTCTTTTTTAGAACAAAGTTTTTAAATGATCTATTCCTGGGATGTTGTGGTCACTATCTATCCATTCAAAGAAAAAAGATATTGAAGATGACAATCAAAGCCATGTATTTTCTCTTTAAAAGGTTAAATAAATTCAGTTTATTGTCGAGTTTTATCGCGGATCTATTTCTTGTGTGGATGCTTCGTAAAAGTTGAATTAGCTCCTACCTCGGCAACAGAGGTATTTGTCATTGAGTTCTAGAATTGAACTCTATACGACAATTGGATCAAGCAGCGATAATTGTTCTCGATTGAATGTAATTAACGATAAACTGATCGCATTTTTCAGCCACGGGAGAGGGGCCGAATGCGCTTTCACATGCTGCAGAACGTGCAGATGGCTCTCGATTTTTTACGATACAAGAAGATCAAGCTGGTCAACATCCGGGCGGAGGATATCGTGGACGGTAACCCGAAGCTCACACTCGGCCTGATATGGACTATTATCTTGCACTTCCAGGTAAGTAGCTCATTTTGCGAAATGTGATGATAAACGCGATTCTCCGAGTTAACGATCGCAATAATTCGATGAACTCCTAACGAGCGAGGTTCGCCTTTCGAATCGACCAGGAGTTATGAAGTAATAACGCACGACCACCCTACGCGTTTATGTCGAATTTGCCAGTAACGTGCGAGTAGTGTCGTAAATTTACACGTCGCGCGACGAACTCGCTCGCAAGCATATGTTGTATTTTACGCCCGTTTGGTATTCAGGGAGTTCCGGAAATCATGTACTTCTTTTCGATTGCGGACATTTTCGGAGTCTGACATTTTCTATAACGAAGATTGAAATACAGAGACCATCATTGTCATGCACGTCACATTTTTTCAGTTTTCCTTATTATATATTTTGACAATTATGTTTCGACGAATTTAGATTTTGTTGCAGTTTACATGAAATTAGATAGAGGGCAAGTTTCACATTTTTCTAAGTTTAATTTTCTCTGAGTCGGTAATTGATTTTTGACATTTTCTAAATTTTTTAAAATATCAATTCCGAAGTTATTACTGCCTTGTTAAAATAATCGCCAGTTTCTTCTCAGCTTATTCTGTGGTATTTAATATCTACGGCACCGCTTGTATAATGCAAATGAAGCGGCTGCAATGTCAGCATGATGAAAACCGCCCATCGCAATTTGCTGTAATGTGTCCATTGGACTACACGATGCGTCAGTCAACCATGAAACTCGATAGAAAGTGAAATACGTGCAGAGCGTTCGAGAAATACACTTTCTCATAATTTAGTTCTACCATCGAAGCAAAAAATTTTAAGCGTTTTTAAACAGTCTGGAATACCTTTGAATGTACATGAGAAAAGCTTTTATTGAAACGTTGGACGCACAAAAAGGACGAAGTACTTAAAATTTAGCTAGATTTGAAAATAATTTTATTAGACTATAAAACAATTATGTAATTAAGATGCTCAAGTTGATTGCTAAAAATGTTAAAATTCTCTATAATATTGCTCATTATGAGTATCCATAATTTTGATAGTCTGAATTATTTATTTATATCAAACTAAATATTTACATGAAAAGAATGATTTTTGCTGAAGTATCTAAAAATTGTTTCTACATAATTATTTTGATAGTTCAACAAAATTATATTTTCAGATTTCTATCTATCTAAATTTTTAGATATTTTAGGAAAATCATTTTTTGTGTTGAGATTTCAGGAAAAAGCATTTTTTTCATATAGAGAAATAGTTTGAACATAGTAGAACATTTTTTCAAAATTGAGCAAAATTCTTTCATCTTTTCTTTGGAATAGTCCGTAAATTATTTTTGTCGTTATGGTTTTAATTCTCGTGCGGTAATAGTTAGGAATATTCATCAGTCTTTTCAAATCGACTGCATTTAAACGTTGTCGCGACATGACTAGCGTCATGTCGAAAGTATTTTGCATTTGTGTACTCATGCACGTACCGTTGAACTAACGGAATACGTTGATTCTACTGGGCGCGGCAGTACTTTCGTCGTGTTGGAAATGGCTACTCGGTCACTTGCTGCGGAACTGAACAGGGAATTAAGCGAGCTTTTTCTTTGACGTTTTCACCGTCTTGGTATTATTATTTCGCATTGCAATTTGCAACACGTGACGGAACAGGAAAGTTGCGTCTAGAACTGTCTCTTTCGACGAGTTACAATGGATTTTCATTGCAACACGCAAAGATGTATTTTTTAAATTATGGGACGCAGGATAATTTGTAAGACAAGGTATTTACTACCTGGAAAAACAAGGAAAAAATCTAAAATTTTCAAGGGATTTTTTTAACCTCAATATATAGTTTTGTTTTGCGTTGCTTGCACTCTATTTACATAAATTTTAAAGTTGCTTTAAACAATTCTCTAATCTTACGTGGAGAATTTTAAAAAATAAGAAAAATATCTGAGAAATTCTCAGGGAATTTTTTTACAAGATTTCAGGGTAAACACCCTGTAACATCAACTGTCGATTTTGACATTTTCTTTTTAGCTAGCATCCCGTCAAAGTGACGCGCCGTTTCGGCAATGGAACCTTCCTTCCGCCCAATTTGCGTTGTCGCGCCGAGACGCGCCGATGCCTGCTATATAGCGAAGCAAATTCTTCGTGAAGGCGTTTTGCACCGCATTTCTCGGTCCGTTGCACTTCGTATCTCACCGGCCAGTGGCCTGTGTCACAAAACTTGACAGGTTGACTATTAAAATGTCAATGAACTCTGATGATTGCCCGATTCTAACGTGATTATTTATACGAGCCTTCCGCTTTGCAGCTTCTGGAAATGTCTTTCGACGCCTCTCATCTCTTTGATCACAGTTTGAGATATTGAATTCCAACAGCGATGGTCCATTGATTCCGTAACGTAAAATGTCCGAGCGACACATCGTTTAAGCGACACGATGAAATGTGATTAACGTGCGCGTTAATCAAGCGTCGCGCATACCGCGATAGGTCACATCTCGCCGGTACGTTATGTGCTATTTTTAGAACTCGTATGTCTCGATGTAACGTTGTGGTAGGTGCCGGTAACGAATGTACATATAGCTCGTATGGAATCACGTGCATTGCCAAAGAAAAGCGAAAGCGAGGACGGCGCGCCGGTTCGTCTCTTGCAGACTGGTCGAGAGTTCCGCACGGCACGAAATCTGCTCAATCTAAAAGGACAGGGACATCTCGCACTTGTTATCATTTATAAGTATAAGAGATATAATTTTTCGATTTCATGGAAGTCTAGGAATTATTCTCGCTGTTTTGTACTCGTAAGTTTCGATTTTTGCTTTTCTTAATCACCCAGCAATTTACTTATGCTCATATCTATAATTACTTCTGCTGAAGAATTTAACTGAAATCAACTGACGCGATACGATTTAATGAAGATATCTTGGAAGACAATTTAATATTTGTTACATCATGTTTGTAATTGCAATTTAATTGATTTTAATAATTCGGAAGTTTGTCTCGACACAATCTGAGATTTGTTTCTAATGGTTCAATAATTGATTTTTAAGAGATGTTTGTTATGTGTATGTATAAATTTATTATGTCAATAAATTTTAATCTTACGACTCGAATTTTTTAATAGATTTTAATTTTTTTTTAAATTAAAGTTATTTAACATGAAGGAAATTTTTTTATTCATTAAAATTGTATATTTACTTACATATTCAATATTTTAAAATTGAATAACTGATCATCTGTTCAGTTTGTCGTAAAAAAACAAGAATTAAATAATTCACATTTAATTTGTAACAATTAAAATTTGCTATTAGTAATATCAGAGTTGCCACAGAATTGGAAATAAGGGAAATATCAGAGAATTGTTAGGGAAATTGAAAACAGTGTCAAGGAAATTAGGAAGAGAAAAAACAGAGAATTTTACAAAATTTCCTTGGAAATTAAAATTCTTGACTTTATTAAAGAAGTTTATATATGCATACATTACACCTATACGCAATTTTGAAATACTATCAACTTAACAATTAATGCAAGCAATGTCGGCAACATTAATAGTAATTTATATTACTATATCAAACTGGACCTCAATAAAATATTTAATGATTTATCAAAAATAAAATAAATTTCAAAATTTCGTCAGATGGATTTCAAATTGAGAAATTTTGCCTGATGCTCTTTTATGATACAAAGTTTATGTAATAACTGTAAATATAGACATCAGTTTTTCTATCGTTATTTACGAACGCGCACGAATGAAGATGCTGCAATTGACGTCGATTGTCCGTATCCTAGCACGCGTGATATCGATGAATCTCGGTACGCTCGTGCGACTCTTGGAACGCTGCTTCTTGTATTCGCTCATGAATATTTCTTTTCATCAGTCGCGCTGTACTGCCGTGTCGCCCCATCAGGCATGCATTTATGCCGACGAGAGAGATTGTGCGCGTTTCTTTTTGAATGATTGCAAAAAGTCGAGCTGAAGGCGCGAACCGAGTAACCGAGTTACGCGATCGTATAAAGACGGCTAGTGTTTGCCCCTCTGATGGCGCCCGCCTGAATCGCAGCATAGGAGGAAGATTATATAGCAATTCCAGATGTATAAATTTAAATTGTGAGAAACGATCATTTGCATTCTGCAGTTCTTTATTTCTTCTTTTTTACTCGTGATCTTCTTTAATTTATCTCTCCATAATTTTCTCATTCTTCATAGTCGGTAAAATTAGAAGATATGGTTGGACGAGCCGTTTTACATTCTGCCTTTCGCGAACTGTTAGAAATATACTTTGAAATATACTTCTTACTACGAAGAACGTAAGAAGGTAACTTTGATACATGAGAGGCATGATGCCAGAATATATCGTAAAAAATGTCTAGATAATTTTTATATTACTTAGGCAAATTTACATTGTTAGGCAGACAGAGTCGTGCAAAACCGATTAAGTATAATCGAATGTATACTTAATCCTCTTTTTAACGAAAAAAAGTTACGCACGGATTTAGATGTCGACACTGTTTTCTCGATAACAGTGATACGGCTTCGATGCGTAGGATTTTCTTCGTGGGTTTGATCAAGAGGTATCGAATAGTCTTGTGACATTTTGCCGTATCTGTCACCGTTTCCGAGATAATGGCTCTTTTATCTAGACGTACGTAACTTTTTGTCAAAGAATATAAATATGTAAATATAAATAAAACTACTATAGTCGCCCAGTCTAATCGTGAATTTTCTTCTTTTCTTTTGCGCCGCAGAGCTGGCGACGCAAGGTAAGTCGATTGCTTTACACCCCTTAAGTGACTTCCCAAGTGGGGGTAGATGACGTTTGGGAGCCAAAGTTACGAAAGTGCAAAAACCTTATTGCAATCATAAAATTGCAACTGCATTATTTTCTTCTTTACCGACGATACTTGCCAAGACGTTTGCTTCGTTAAATACAGATGGCTCGTACAGGTAGTTACACCTGAAGAATTGCTGCTCCCGCACGAATGGCTGATCACCACAGCGAACTCCGAGCACAACACACTGTA